GGGGGGGGGGGGGGGGGGGGGGGGGGGGGGGGGGGGGGGGTTGTTTACACATATCCCAGGAGACGTTTGATAAGTCTGCCTGCTTCAAGGCCTAACGGGGGAGTCAGATTCAGATAAGCCACAATTGTTGATTTTTTTCAGGCAGATTGTTATTTCTTGTCAGCCTTGAGTTCTTCTGGTACTTTTGATCCAAAATGACCAGATTCATGGGCATTCCACTGGTCCGTGCTTATAAGCCTCCTCCAAGGTTGTCCCCAACATGCTGGCGAGTCTCAGAAGCCGCAAATGACCTGCGATTCTCAGAAACCCATTTTACAATTTAGCATGTAAATCAGCTGATTTTGAGTGCTCGAAGCACAAACCAAACCTCCACCTAAGGTCAACAGCTTTGCCATGGCCAAAACTGCTGCCGTGGTCTTCTTTAATAGCTGATAGCATCAGTATCCACCAGTGCCAAAAAGCAGAAACCCTGCTATCATGATTTCAATGATATAAACATCTTTGGCATCCTCCTGAGACAATACAGAAAGGCACATCAACTTCCAAACCCCCCACAGATCCACGACGTACCCTGCCACATGCATCTCAGCAGGGCATGAAGGTTCTCCTGGACCCTGTTGCTTGGTTGAAAAAATATTATTGATTGCATTGAAAGTCCAGCAGACCAGGTCCATGACATTAGTTTACAATTCGGAAAATGTGTAAATAGAAGCTACGATACGCAAGACAGAGCAAAGAAGCAGGAGTAGGACGGGAGAGGGAAGAAAAGCATCTGTCTTGCTCGAGAGCGAGTGAGAATGGAAAAAAAAAACAAGTCAAAGTGCAGGGCCCTCAACAAGAGTTTCACAGGTCTCATTTGACATCCTTGTATCAAAATCAAAACTTAATGAAAACTTTTCTTGACTTCAAATTTGGCCAACTGTCATGAGCAGTCTAAATACAAAGTAATAATGCTTGGTTTTTAAGCAAAATGAGATGTGATAAAACATCCATCCATCCATTATCTTTACCCGCTTATTCCATTTTGGGTCACAGGGGTCACCGGTGCCCATGTCCAGCAATCACTGTGCGAGGGGCGGGGTACACCCTGGACGGGTCGCAAGTCCATCATAGGGCCACATAGAGACAAACAACCATTCACTTTCTCACTCACACCTAGGGACAATTTAGAGTTACCAATCAGACTAACATGCATGTTTTTGGTCTGTGGGAGGAAACCGGAGCACCTGGAGAAAACCCATGCGTGCACAGAGAGAACATGCAAACTCCACCCAGAAAGGCCCCTGGACCGGGGTTTGAACCAAGGACCTGCTCGCTGAGAGGCAGCAGCTCTACTAGTTGCGCCACCGTGCTGCCCCGGAGGCGGACACAAGAAGTGAAAAATGTGGAAATAGGTTTGTCATTGTATGTACCTGATGAAGCTGACGCAGCAGGAAGGTCAGGTTTCAGTCTCAATTCTTCAACTCAGATCATTTTAGAAGAATAGACCAAGGATTAAAGATGGCAGTGAACTATAGATGACTCTTCCATTTTTCTCTCACAACCCCCACCTCCCTTAGAAACTCTAATCTTCCTTTCAGCTTCATCACTGAGTGGAGGTTCTGGTCAAGCTGCCAACCTGGGAACAGTGGCAGCCAGTACGGTACCAGGAGACATGGGGAAAAGTAAACAGCCTGGATGGAAAAAATTCAAAAAGTGTGTTTCCTTTCAGCCAGGCCGGCATTAAAGCTTATTAAAGGTTAAATGAGGACTTTTTGCAGACTCAAGTACCTGGTTTTTACAGTCTATTGTTGGACTCAAAGCATGTGGGCAAAGAGAAACTAATAATCTAAGCACTAAAAAATGTGTTTTAAGAGATTTTGACCTCTTGAAAAGTTGTGAAATGGGGTTGATGCTGAATATAATTAAAGGCATTCCTTAAAGTAAACATCACCCACCGCCTCTCATTGCAAAGTTTTAGACTGAAATGACCTTAAGTTGAAAAATAATGTTGTTATGATGGTTTTGGTCAAATCACTAATGTTATGTGCAAGCTGACACAATTATACCAAATCTCAGGATATCTGTTAGTGCTCAGAGTATGTTATGTGGACAAGCCTCAGCTACTACCATATCAAACTTGGCTCAGTATCTGTAAAAATGGCATTTTGTGTTTGCTGAGGCTGATTAGCTGAACCATCTATCTTGAAATGAACTGAAGATAATCAGTTGTAGATGTGCATTCGGGGATGCCTTCTGAAAACCCTGTGGTTCATAAGATATTTCACTAACATGCAGGTTGACTACTGTAGTTATAGGGACAATTTAGTTGCTTTTGAAGTGATATTCTCTCTAATAGTTAACATTTAGTGGCGTAACATTATCTGTCTTGCTCGACAAGATTTTGTCGAAAAATCACATAAAAAAAATTACAGATTTTGTGGGAGTGGTGGCGCAGAGGTTAGAGAGGTGGGCCTGTGATCCAAAGATCGCCGGTTCACGCCCCGGCCCCGACAACATCAAAATTGTGGGTGGGGTAGGTGAAACACCCACATTTGCCCCCACCCTCATTCGCCCCACTCTGGGCCCATGAGCAAGGCCCTTAACCCCCACCATGTGCTCCCTAAAACAGGTCTCTCTTGAAAATGAGTTCTCGTGGCTCAATGAGACTAACCTGTATAAATAAAGGCTAAATGAAAAAAAAAAATAAATAAATTTAGTGCTTATCAGACTTGAATCCTTAGAGCAGTTTTCAATCATTTTTGATCCATGGTGCATTTTTAAAATTCTAATACTTTGTATATCTGTGGCACACTGCCAATCAAAACAGATCCAAATGACACATTGTAGCTCAATATAACACATTTTGGTATCCTGATTCATGCTCAATAATGTAATGATATAATTATAATGTAAATTCAGAATTTACTTATTAGTGCAGCCTGAGCCTGTTCAGATGAATGCAAAGCTGACGGGAATTGAAGAAAGGCAAAATATTCCAAAACTAAATATCGCTAGTCCAAGTTCTTGTTTTTAAAGGGTAGTTGTTTCATTTGGAGATGTTGTGGGACCATGGTGCTTTTGGATAACTTTTCCCTTCACAACAAGCATAACAGAATTGGATCCCTGATGAAAGTGCATCCAAACAATAGATGACTTCCACTGTATTGCGTCACGCTCACCTTTCTTCTTTCTTTTGACCACAACTCATACCAGACTCTTCCTCTGGGTGACAGTTTGTCCCGGATCCAGTAAAGAGTCTTAAATTTTCTTCTTCAAATATTTAACCCACGCTATTGTACGTCTTGTCACCACAACTTTTTGCGCACGTCATTTCTTTTACTTTTATGGCAGTATTTTTTTGTTTTACAACTTAAGTGAAATTATTTCCCACGGCCCACGTGACGATCTCTCACGACACAGTGGATGAAAATCACTGCCTTAGAGAAAAGGACAAAAAAAAGTCTTTCTCCTGTCTAAGCTAATAAACGGCGGCCTGTTTTTTCTATAGTTTTTTTTTTTTTTAGGCTTGAACTCCTACTCAGAAATGTCATACTTGTGTAAAAGAAGGCTGGTATTAATACTCTAAACGTTTTCATGACACTGTTTGGTTTGATGATGTTTTCTCAACTGAACATCCGTAAGTATATGGTGAGGAGAGTAGATCATGAAAATAAAGGCTAAGTACACCACATTTTGTACAAGAGGTTTAATATTAGCTAATGCAACGCTCTTTACACCCATATGACATGTTTTTTATAAACATGAAAAATGACATGAATAAGGTCCTCGTTAGCTTACGAGGCTAATGCTCACATTTTCAAGAGAGACATTTACTATGCAGCTAAAAAAAAAAAGCTTGAAAAAATGACAGCTTAGAAATATCAGTCTGGACAGATATTAGACAGAATATTATTTTTCACCTATTGATATTTATGACAAATAAAGTACAGAAGAAGTCTGTTTTCCATTTCAGCTACATGACCTACATAGATACAATGAGTTGATCACATGTGGAAAAGTTGATTGATTTAATAGGATTATTCTTCAGGACTGTATTTCACATCATTTAACACAAAGTATTCTCGTTGCTCTTCAAAAGTGAGACACATTCTCGTGTCCTTGACATGCAGCAGTGTCCTTTAGTTCCTCCCTGTGAACAGTTTGTTAATTTATTTTTGACCTTGTGAGTCTCACTGATCCCAGTCAGTTTTTTCCTGCTGTTCTTTTATCTTCAGCCAAGGCTAGCCCCTCAACTCTTGTAGGTGAACAGATAAAAGAGTAAAGAAAAGGGGCCTCTTGGGGGCCTTGTTAGCCAAGTTTTTTTTTGTTGTTGTTTGTTTTAGTTTTTGCCTAAACCGAAGGAATCATTGACTAAATCTTACCTAAGATGACCACTGTCAGTTACTTCCCCTTTTTCCCAGAATAAAGTTTAATAACTTTTGTTTTCTGCAGGATACCAGTGGAGCTGAGGAGGTGCTGTGCTCGGATCGGATCCAGTCCCAGCAGCCCAGGGTCCAGCACAGTTTTGTCCAGGAACATTTCCAGGCTCAGTACAAGTAAGTTTGCACCACAAACACGCACAAATCACATCTGCCCTGTTGTTTCTGCATAGCAACAAAGAAACAGCAGCTCGTTTTGAGGCTGCACACTGGTTTCCTGGGAAGCCTACCATCGTCTTGTGGTGATGTCATGGTGTAAGAAGCGCCTGCTCATGAAACGCCTCCTGTGGCTCCTTATTGTCCAGGAGTAGCTCTCTGGAACCAGGAACAGAAAGCCCAACAAGCTCTGATTTTTCTCTTTTCCGAGCCTCGTATGAACAAGTTCAGAGTAGAGTGTCTTATTGCACCAAACAAAATGCTAGCAGTGTGAATGCACAGTGCATCCTAATTATGTTGGAAACCCACACATGCTGTGCCATTACTTGTCTTGTGAGTTGTGTTTACTGTACAATAGTTGCACTGTTGCATTGTCGGTGGTATAAATGTCAGGTTGCCCTGCAACAGAAAGGTCACTGCGTCAGTGGCGACTGAAGACCGACAGTCCAAGCTCACAATGAGGAGAAATGCATGACTAAAATACACCCGTGCAGATCAAGAGCCAACCTAAACCAGCTGGGTTTGTGTTAGTTTCCACAGAGTGGATGATAGTGTGATTGCTTCGTACGGAACAGATGTGGTGAACTGTCAAAGCCTTTAAGGTATTCAGAGAGGTTCTCGTGGAGTTACATGTGGGCGTAGCTAGTACTGATCTGCCTTCAACTACACTTAAAACAACAACAAATTAATATGATATTGTTGCCAATTTATTATCGTTACCCTTTTCAAGGAAATGGCTCAAATTTAAAAAAGGCCCAGCGTTCCTTCAAGGGATCTCTGACTACTTGCACATATTGGTCTTAATATGTTCTCTATTTTACTAAAAGTTGTAGTTAGTGAGTATTTTCTTCATCCTTAATTTCTTGTTCATTTCTGTAGAATTCATTGTGAACTTTTTCTTCTCTAAATGCTCCTTGCCTTTTGTTGAATCACCCAAAAGGTCAAGTCCAAGTCCTTGTGGCTCCTATTAGGCAGCCATTTTGGCAGCTACTGTTGCTAATAATACATTTTTACATTTTATTTATCTTTTATAAAGCTCAAAGAAACCTTGCAATAAAACTGCAATACAACCCCCCATTTGACCCAATGGCATCAGGAGGACAAGGCAAATAAACAAGCAGACTAGACAACAAAATTATGTATAAATCATGTCATCAACGTGGATAAAGGAAGACGTTACGTCTAAACAGGTAAATTTTGAGTGAGATTTCTGTGAATTAATGTTTTTTATTATTAAATGCGTTTAAAACGTGGCAACCTCATAATAAACAACTAATTTCTCCTTCTTCCTTCTGCTAGCGCCTTTGAAAACTGACAACTCCGTGTGAATACATCCGTTTGAGCGCGTCTCCTAATTGCCCCCACCTCACTGTCAAATGCTTCAGCTGTGCCACACTGGGTGTGTCCACACAGGAAAAGACACAATTAGCAGCCTTGCAGGCATAATCTGTTCCTGCTCCCACTCTAATGCTGCCCAGCCAAGGAGAGTGGGACGTGCACGGAGAGAATATACAGTTTGGGCTCTGAGGGACCGGATAGAATCACAACAAACCAGAGGAAGGCAAAGTGTGAGTTCAGAAAACAGAAATCACAGATTAGATGCTTTATTATGAGAGTTCACATGAAAATAAACTCTGAAGAGTCACTGGAGCTTGATGGTCACCTGCCGCCAAATGTTAAATGGTGGTAATCCTTTTGCCTGGATCTGTGTGTGGTGTTAGCAAAATATCTACTGAAGCACTGGACGGGTTTATTGAAACTCAGAAGGCAGTCATCGAAAGAACGTCTACATCTGTTTAACTTTTGAAGTCATTTAAATGGTAAATGGACTGTACTTATATAGCACCTTTCTATCTTACTGAGATACTCAAAGCGCTTTACACTACAACCTGTGTCCTCATTTACCCATTCATACAGCACTCTACTAGATCTCTACAAAGCTAGTTGAACAAATCATTCTAAAGAGACCAATCAGACCTTTATTACATTCATACACCAATGGGACACACATCAAAGGCAACAAGGGGTTCAGTGTCTTGCCCAGTGACACTTTGGCATGTGACTGCTATGGGGTTCGAACCCCCAACTCTTGCATTAGAGGACGACTGCTCTAACCACTCAGCCACAGCTGCCCAAGTTAGTTTCTAAACAGTTGCCACAGCTAAGTGTTCTTATCAAACAAACATGAAACAGTCAAATTATAGATATTGACCTGAGCTGGATGTGGTAGTAGCTGAGAGTCAGTACAAACTCACTGGACAAGGTCTGTTTTTGAAACTTTGCCTGTGTCTGTCTGTTAGTAAAATATCTATTGAACCAGAAGGCAGAGTTTAACGAAACTTTCAGAAGCTTTTCAGTAGATGACAAAGTCCATGCTCAATAATCCAGGTATACAATCCAACATTTTTCAGTCAGGTCATCTGGACAGTTTCTTATTTTTGTGTTGAAACGTTTCGCCTTCAATCCAGAAGACTTCATCAGTCAAGGAAACACACAACAAAACTGATTCTTCCCCCAACAGCTTACTCCAAAGTGGAACAAACCAGTTTTGTTGGTGCTAAGATGGTTTCTTTGCTTACATTTAACATTTCAGCACAAAAAAAGAAACTGTCCAGATGACCTGACTAAAAAATGTTGGACTTTTCAGTAGATGTGCCTCTACACTTGATTAACTTTTGGAGTCAACCCAATTCAAGATGGCCACCACAGACACCTAAAATTAGGAAACACAAAAATGTCCACAACTGACCAAAGTTTACACGTGTGAATCTTTGTAAAAATTTAGTGTGGTTGTAGCTGGGTCTGCCAGGATCACATACATGCATGTTACACATCGCACAAGACATTTGCCTAAAATCAAGGCTTAATTTGAGCCGGCTCTTGCCGGAACAGGATCCGGGAACTCTCTTGTTTTGTCAGGGTGCGTTCCAGTAACTATTAGCTTGAATCCGGTAACTTTCAGGTTTATTAATATTAAAGTTTTGAACAAATTTGCCTATAATGAATAAAATCTATATTGGACATGTAATCCAAAAACAATTACATAAACACTCATTTTAAACATAACGGCCACTTACAAGCATCCTAATATCAAAAAAGAGCCACCCCTTCAATAAGCATTTCTGCTTCTACCTTAATCTCCACCCTTAAAAGGTTTAGAGCCTGCAAGGGCTGGGGGGGGGGGGGGGGG